TGTTTCATCTTTCATGCGTCCCTCGGGTCCCTCCGCTCGCTTACCTGTGTCCCACCAGTACGGGGAGTCCCCTACCTCAGTTCCCCATTGTTAAGCTTTACGCTGAACATTAGTGAGAGCGTAGGAGTTGTCTCCGTTACCGTGTCACGTTCAGAGCTTCTCTCCTCAGTCTAGTGAGCCTCCATCTGTGTTTGCTGTGAGTCCACCCGTAGCCCGAATGAACTTTGATGATCTTCACTGCCAACCTGTATAACCACTACCCTCTTTTGTAGGTACTGATATGGTCCCCATTTTACAAGGTTGCACCCTAACAAGTGTTGCCAAGAATTTTCTCTGAGTAGTTTATACATGAATTGAAAGATACCGGGGGATCCAAATGGGAAAAGTAAGTTGGCTGGTGATGACCGGGGAAGATTTAGCAGTGAGTAATAAAGAATGGGGTTAGCATTCTGTTAACCCACAATGGTAAGAACATTGTCCCTTGCACATTACTGTAGAGAGACCAGTGAGACAGAGTAGATATGGCAAAGATAGCTTTTCTTTTTTTTTCTTCTTTGAGACAGGGCCTCATTATGTAGCTCTGGCTGTCCTAGAACTCACTTTGAGTAGACCAGGATAACCTTGCACTTACAGAGATCTGCCTGCCTCTGCCTCCCAAGTGCTGGGATTAAAGCTGTGTACCACTACAGCCTACTTGTGATACTACTTTAAATTGAGGGTAAAGAGATGACGGAAGGTAGATCCCTTGGGTGAACTTGAAGTATGCTGAGCTCTCGTGGGCACCATTGCTCACACAGCCTACCACCAGTATCATGACTTTGGATTGTTGGTGACAAAACAGTTGTTATCAGGCAAAAAAAAAAAAAACCCAATATATTCCAAGATCATTATATAGTAATTTTATGAATGTGATAGCAAAAGTTAGGAAACACATGATTGATTAGATATTGAAGTGGAAACCATGGCATAAAACCGCAGGAGAAAACGTCTGATGGTTACCATGAAAAGGTAAAATTGTGACAAAAGTTCACCCTACTGACCGAGACTCATAGAAACCATTATTTCCCTAAAGTGTTTAGAGAAAGGTAAAATAGTAGTTGTGGTAGTCACCGTCATCACCATCATCATTGCTGTCGTCATCATCATCATCTTTGTCGGATAACCCGCAAGATGTGGGGGATGGAAATGGGGGACTCATTTAAAGAGCCATGGAACCTACAGATACATTCAGAAATTGATAGGGAGGGCTATTTAGCTACACGGACAGACAAGAGTGGCCAAATGGTGTGGAGACGCAGACTGTGCTACGCAGTGGCCAGGACCTGTGCTGCAAATGACGAGGCCGTACAAGTCTGTCACCGAGCAGGGCTCCCATCGCCTGCTCAGAGAGAGTCAGGTGCAAAGCTTTGTACCACAGCAACAGCAGTCTACCTGGAGGAGGAGGAGGAGGAGGAGGAGGAGGAGGGTGTATGTGTGTGTCTGTCTGTCTGTCTGTCTCTGTTGTAAATGATTTTTATAATGTGGGTTGACTGATTCAGTTATTAGGGGAAATGTCCTCTTGTTGTTTAGGAGCTACTCAACTCAAGTTTATTATTTCTGTTGGAACACATGGCAGAGCATTCCTATGGTAGATTATTGTTGTTCAGAGCGCTTGCTGGAGTTTAGTCCTGAGATCTGGTGTGAGGACCCTGACCATGATGAAGTATGTGTCATGGAATCGTGAGATTTCAGTGGTACAGAAGGTGACTTAAAGTTGGAGAAGAGTGAGACTTTTATTTGTATTCATTTCTGTGGGTGATGTACGTGCAGGCCCAGAAGAGGGCCTTGTGTAAGCCATTTCTGCCATTCTCTACCGTACTCCCTTGAGACGGTGTTCCTCACTGACCTCAAAGCTAGACTGGCAGCCAGCAGCCCCAGCAATCCTCGTGTCTCCAACCCCTCACAGTGCGGAGGTTACAGCTGCTCGTGTGGCTAGAACTGACTTTGTGCGTGCGTGCTGGAGGTTTGAACCCGAGTCCTCAAACTTGCCCTGCGTGCACTCTTGCCCACCAGCTTCCTTCCAGCCCCAGATTAGGATTTCTCCTCTTCAGAGCTTCATCTCACGTAGACAAAACAGCTTAAAGATTTTTAGAGTATATGTAGATGGTAAGTCTGGACTGGTTGCCACCTGGTTCTGGAGAGTTCGTAAATGATCACATAATCAATCCCTTCTGAAGGCTGCCTGCAGTGTGAGCTGTACCCTCCTGCCGTGCAGCCCTGTGGGAAGGAATGGGTCAGGTAAGGGATGTTCCCTGGGAAGAACACGCAGGGCTTTAGTGGGGGAAATGTCATTTGGCTTCTCGGTTTGTCTCATCTTGGTGATTCATTATCAAGCGTGCCCTGGATTCTTCACTTTAGTATTTAATTTGCTAGTGGTGGGGGCAGTCTGCATTGTTAAAGGAGTGGCAAAGGAAAGGGTGGTTGAGAGGAGCGGGGTCTCGGAAAATGGAAATAAAAAGCATGAACCAAAGAGCATCCAGTGTTCCGAGAGTCCGTGGCTACCTGCCTCAACGTTGGCTTTTTGTCCGTACACACCTGTGATTTAGAATTCTGACTTTGAGCTCCCGATGATACATCTTATGCTCAGGGACTTCCGCTGCTTCCATCCTGGGGAATGAGCCTAGTCATTCCTAACAAAGCAGAAGACCACAGATGCGATTACTCGTTCCTGGAACTCACTCTGTAGACCAGGCTGGCCTCGAACTCACAGAGATCCGCCTGCCTCTGCCTCCCGAGTGCTGGGGTTAAAGGCGTACGCCACCATGCCTGGCCCTCTTCCGAAATCTTTCACTGTTGCTTCTTAGCCTCTCCTGTGCATCGAAGTGTTGACTTTGCTTCATTGTGCATTGCTATTGTGCTGGAAAGGTATCTATTCCTCATGTTTATTAAAAAGTCTTCAGGAACGTTAATGATAAATATAATAAATAAATAATAAATAAAAATCATATAAAATGATGATAGTTGCTTCCTTTCCAACACTTGAGCCGTGTAATCCTCCGAGCTGGCTTGCTACCCAGCACGTCCCGAACGTTTGTAGAGAACGCCACTATCTTGAGTCTGATTTTACACTTGAATGTTGTTGGTGTTTTGTCACTAACCACGATGGGTTCATGGAGAAGGATTTGGGGATTTCCCCCTTAAACTCCTAAGAGAGTCTTTCCCATCAGGACTGCTGGGCAATTTTGCACCACGTGTATTGGATTTCTGTTGTTGATTGTTCTTTTTATTAGCCTAGAGTTTATATTTTTTTCTTAAACTCAAATTATCAATTTTGTTAACTAGCCTTAACACTTTTATTCTCTGTTCCTGTTAATTTGGACTTAATAGAGTGCACATGCGTGTGCACACACATGCATGTGTACACACACACACACACCATATGCATGTGTACACACACACACACACCATATGCATGTGTACACACACACAAAAACTCACTCCAGTTTTGGTTATGTATTGATGTTCCAAGTCCTTTAACAACTTTCTGTCTAAACTCCTTGGATTATTTATTGTCGGTGTTGCTTGGAGATCGGAGCATATTATATGCCTTTTCAGTCCTCGCCTCAAGAGCTGTGTGGTGGAATTTGTACCCTGCTTATAGGCTAACCTGTGGCTCCTAGCAGAAGTCGGCGGTCTCCTGACTTGGAGTCAAGAGCAGTAGACTTACAGCGGTAACAGTAGCACAGAGTCATAATGTTCTTCGCTCCAGTTCTCACCGCTGGTCTGCTGTGCCATAGCTCAGTCAGACCTGTGTAAGCACGCCGCTGCTCCCCAGAAGGGGCTAACCGCACTCTGCTGTCTCGTTTGCCCTTCTGGTCAGTTGCCAGACTCCTTGTCATCCAGGTAGATGCCTTTCCGAGTCTCTTACGGTCCCCTTCGTCGTTGAATTGCCTTTCACAAGGTAGCAACTCCTTCCTCTTCACGGGTTCTCTCTTCACAGACACTGGCTCTTCTGGTTTGCCCAGTGGCCTGTTCTGATCTTGCAGGTAGATCCTGGTGTCTTTATGGGCAATGCCTATAGAGAGGACTATTTGGGTCTCATAGAGAACCTAAGGGACTCAGTGTTTGGATTACATGTGTGCTCTGAGGAGCTCATAGCCAGTGCTGTAGTAGCACAATGGATAGGGATTTGTTTCCGTTTTGTTTCCTTGTGGCAGGTTTGGAGATAGATAATTGCTGCTGTGGATTCAGCTCTTTAGGAACCCTCTAGCAGGCGTCCTCAGTATGCTGTTCTCACCACCTGGAGTTCCCCTTGTCCAGATGTGTACTTCCAAATTATACCTAGCCTTGAAATTATTAGTTGTTCTTAACTCCCACGTGAAAATATTCTTTCTTTATAGCCCTACAGGCAGTGTGAAGGCAGAAAATGACGTTTATCACTAAAACACACGCACACGCACACACACACACCTTCCTTACTGAACTATAAATTCCAATTTTAGAGCACTGCCCTCTGCAGAGTGCCTGTTTAAGGCAGGCATAGTGGGTTACCATGTTGAATGAATGTTTGAGAATGAATGAGCCATCTCTTTGAGAAATCTGTCATTAGTAATTAGAGCTTTGAAAGGACACATGTTGTCATGGGTGCGAGTATAAAAGTATTGGGATTTAGCAGAGAATTTAATTTATAGGAATGGAGGGTATATGTTGCTGAAAAGGAACAATTTATTGGATAAACCTAATTTATGATCGCATACAGGTTTTTGTTTTGTTTTGTTTGTTTGCTTTATTTTGGTTTGTTTGGGTTTCTCTGTGTAGCCCTGGCTGTCCGGCAACCCGCTCTGTAGACCAGGCTGGCCTCGAACTCACAGAGATCTCCCTGCCTCTGCCTCCCGAGTGCTGGGATTAAAGGCGTGCACCGCCACCGCCACCCTGCTTCATTCAGATTTATTTTTTTAATGCTAGATGTTGTAAGGCACTCTGTTACCGGAGCATGAAACGGAGACTGTTCTTTCTCTCAGTGCTTAGATGAATACGAAGACGATGAAGCCGGGCAGAAGGAGAGGAAGCGAGAAGACGCCATCACGCAGCAGAACACCATGCAGAACGAAGCTGCCAGCCTCTTGGATCCAGGCACTTCCTTCCTGTCCCAGGTGAGCATTGGAAATGGCCAGAGATCACTGACTGAGCAACAGTCTTTTTAAACTCCTCTTACTGATTCTTCCAGTCCTGTCGTGGTGGCATCAGGCCGACCCAAGCATTTCCTGCGGCTTTAACCACCAGTCCCCTTCTTTCCAACTTGCTGATTTGATCATTGTTTGGCTCTTGGTCCTAGAGCAGAGAATATAATCTGACTGACTGGCAGGGTTTAGGTAACATCAGTTGTAAAAATAACCAAAAAAAAAAAATCACTTCCTTGTTACTAAAAAGTAAGAATTAAGCTGAGTGGCCCATTCTGTTCTAGGCTGACTTTCGGATCATAAGCACAGAAGAAAAAAAGATGTGACTTGGTCTCCCCAGTCAACTGTGTAGACATGATACAGTATTGTGCAGAGTGTAGTGTTGTGAATAGTGTCATATTACATAAACACTTGGTTTCTATGTAGTATAAGGTACTTTACAGAAACACTTGTGTTTCTATATAGTTAGTATAAGGTACTTTTGGAAATAAAACTTAATTCAGTTTCACTTTAGTTGCTTGCTTTGACAATGGAACAAATGACTCTATAGAGTATTTTTTGGGTTCTTCTCAGAATAGAGTCCACTACCCTGATGTATCTGTCATCTCTAGAATCAGTCATGTTAAATGTGTTTTGAAATATTATTGGTATTATTGGTAAACATTTGTTAGTTTTTGTGACTTTTTTTTTTTTTTTTTGGTTTTTACGAGACAGGGTTTCTCTGTATTGTTTTTGAGGCTGTTGGTCCAGCCCAGCCTCGAACTCACAGAGATCCACCTGCCTCTGCCTCCCGAGTGCTGGGATTAAAGGCATGCACCACTAACACCCGGCATCTTTCCTCTCTCTCTACCCCCTCTATTTCTATCTCCACACTTGTGTGTGCATGTACAGGCCAGAAGCTATAACTCACCTCAGAAGCTACAACACGGGTACTGTCTACTTCTCTTAGAGACAGGGTCTTTGGCTGTCCTGGTGCCTGCCAAGTAGGACAGGCTGGCTGGTGAGTCAGCTTCACAAGCCGGCCTGTCAACTGGGATTATAAACCTCCCCACAGCTGGGATTATCAGCCTGGGCCACCACACCCAGGATTTTCTTTTTATAGAACAGGGTCTTTTGATGCATCTTAGGCTGGCCTTGAACTTGCTGTGTACCCCTCAGGTTGGCCTCAAAGTCGTGACCCTCCAGTCTCCACCCTCCCAGTGCTGCCATCACACACTCTGCACCCCAAAATCATCATGTACTTCAGAGTTCCAGTCTTCCCTCCCCCCTCTCCCTAGCCCTCCCCCTTGTCTCTAGAAAAGTCTAATGTGTTGAGGCTGCTGACCTCAACCTTGCTATGCAGCCAGCATGACCTTGAACGTCTGACCTTCCTTTCTCTGACAGCTGAGTGCTAAGATTACAGGTGTGCTGGTATTGAACCCAGGCCTTTATGCACTGCATCGCCTGCCCCTCGCCCTGATTTTCCAACTTCATTTTATTATTATAGGACTTTAAAGGGCATTTGGGAGGATCACACACCTTTCTGTGTTTAGTTGATGAAAAGATTATATGCCTGTCTATTTGCTGTTTTGCAGCGTTGTGCAGACATTTGACAGAGTGAGGCAGACTGTTTGGAAGTGGTTAGGACATACAGATAAGCACTTCCCTCTCCTCCCTAAGGCTGAAGTCACTGACACAGAGTCTTATGAGTGATGGGCTTCATCTTTCCCCCCTCATACCCTCCCGTTGCTCTTACTGTCAGTAAAGATCATTGTGGCTCTGTGGAAAGCAGTGCCTGTCATAATGCTGACTACACTGCTTCTCTCAGCTGAGTGTGATTGGTCATACTCTAAATACCTTAGTGCTTGTTTTCTTTTTTTTTTTTTTAACAGATTTGGAATTAAACCTGGTCCTCTTTCAGTGATGACTCCCACACAATAAAGGTCTAACTTTCTGTGGTGGAGAAAATACACCATTGTAATTGAAAGTCTAGACCTGGTTAGTTCTTGCCCATCTCCTGACTCTGGACCCTTTAGGAAGGAAGGCATACTACCGTAGGATCAGACAGTGTCTGCAGACAAAGAGCTGATTTCTTTCTACAGGAAAAGGCTCTGTCTGCTGCAGCCTAGTTATGTCCAGGGCCAGGGCGTACACCCTAACATGGACTGTCTTCCAGCTCAGCTGAGCCGGTCCTCAAGATTCTCAGCACAAATGCTCCTGCTTCATGGAACTATTCTGAGCTCTTCCCAGGCCGCTCTTCTCTTCTCTGATTTCTGGCTGTCTGTTTGTTTTATTAGTAATTGGGATTAAAGGTTGGTCACTTGCTGGTGACCTTGGCTCCAAATATATTTTGCCAGGCTGTTTGCTTAGCATGAGAGTGAAGCTGCATCTTCTCCATGGGCCTCCCTAATTGCCTCACCAGAGGTGGCACTGGGAACAGGAAATGCCCGTCCACATAGTTCACATCCCTGTGAGCTACAATCTCAGTTTGTAGTCCCAGTCCCCGGTACGCCTAAAGGATGGGCATTTACAGCACCACAATCTAGAGGAGTGGTGGGGGGAGGAAGGAGAGAGAGAGAGTCCTAATATTGTTGGTTGTTTTAGTTTGATAGGACCGAGAGAAAGGCTTGATGTTGCCTACAGATCTGAGCCACTCAGGGAAACAGGTCTTTGGAAACGGACCGCAGATGCCAATAGGAGCATGCTTTGTTAGCGGTTAGACTATTTTATTTCTGGTTTAAATTTTTTATGTAATTCCGACAATGGTAATAGAAAATGAAGATTCAAATACTTTCTTATTTTTAGCTATGGCTTCATACAGCTTCTAAACATGGTCATGCTAGCTTTTTAAGTAAACGTTTTCTGAGGCTGGAGAGATGGCTCCGAGGTTCACAGCACTGGCTGCTCTTCCAGTGGTCCTGAGTTCGATTCCCAGCAACCACATGTAGCTCACAACCATCTATAGTAGGCTCTGATGCCCTCTACTGGCATTTGGCATACATGCAGACAGAGCACTGATACCTTATGTAAACGTTTTCTGACTAAGTTAAATTTAGAAAATAACAGAACATAGAAGAAACGGTACATGGCATAGTTGTTAATGTTTCTTATGTTCTGCTGTTTTCTATCAACTATTGAATCTTACTCTTAATTTTTTGAAGGTATATCATCACATGGCACAAAATTCAAAAGGTATAACTGTATGGTTAAAAGTTGTCAGCTAACTGGCTCCCTTCCTGAAAGCAACTAGTATTTCTTTCCTAGATATAGCTTCAGAACTAACCTACAAATGAAAGCTGTCTCTGTCTGTCTGCCTATCCATCCATCCATTCATTCCTCCATCCATCTCTCTTTGGATACTAAATGTTCTTCATAAAAACAAAAAGCTGTATTCTAAAGGCTTGGTTCCACAGCAGTGTTTAATTGTGACTCTGAAGTCATCAAAGAATTACTCTATTGGTGGATACATAATCTGATGGCATGACTGGGACATGGTTCCTAGTCCGAAAGGAGGGTCATGTCCCATCTTCAGCCATCATGAAGTAGGCAGTGGTGTGGCACTCGCCTTTAATCCCAGCACTTGAGAGGCAGAGGCAATTGGATCTGTGAGTGCAAGGCTAGCCTGTCTACAGAGCGAGTTCCAGGACAGCCGGAGCTGTTACACAGAGAATCCCTGTCTTGAAACATTCCCCATCCCACCCAAAAAAGAAAGAAGAAAAAGTACCCGATGCATATTGTCTGAGGTACTTGTAAGATTTATGTTTGTCCTCAGTGGTAGTTCCTGAGTGGGCTCTTATAATTTTTTCTCCACAATAGTCTCAACTTGCTACAGAGTCACAAGGACACACAGAAAACATTTTACTTCTTACTTCGTTTTCTAAGAACAAGGTCTGTCTAGTGACGACATCACTTCACTCAGACTCAGGCCTCATTGAAGTTTTTCCGGTTGTCCCAGTCATGTCCCAAGGCAGAGCAGAGGAATTCAATTCAGAATTCTGTGCTGCAATCACTGTCTGTGACTCTCCCTCAGCCCGAAAGTGCTGTAGTTTTTCCCGTCCCTTCCTAATGTCCCTAACTACAGAGGACTTGATGACATAGCCAACAATTTGGGTTGTGTCATGTCCTGTGACGTGTGTGAAAAAGCAGAGAAAGTCTCCTGCACTAAGACTGCCTGTAGAAAGTGCAGCTGAACTTGATCCTAGTTTTGGAAGTCCCAGGGCCCATGTAATGAGATCCTTTGAAAACCCAGGTCTGTTACACAACAAATTTCAAGCCTACTTTTCCTGACATAATCTTCCTTGCAGGGGTGTAGTTTATCCTGCCAAAGGGAGGGGGGATAACTGTGCAGAGCTGCAAAAACGCTAGCAAAACACAAACCGTTTGGCCCAGGTTTAAGCAAAGCTCTGGCTTCGTTGGAACATAGAATGGTCAATAGGGAAGTCTCCGGAGCACAGCCGTCACAGGTGCAGAGGCAGTTGAGGTCCTGTGATGCGTAAACAGATGGGGAAAGCATTCGTGCTAGAAGATGGGGAACACAAGCGCACATAGATTATATAGACGAAGATCGGGGAACACAAGCGCACATAGATTATATAGAGTAGCTTCACATAGAGTGGACTTGTCGCACTTCGCAGTAATTACTTGTAGCTATTAACACGGGTTCCTAGTCATTTTGAAGTTGGTTAGCTCCTCTGCTTGGGAATTTTTTGTGGTAATGGAAATGAAACTTCGAGCTACCAGATCTAAGGTAGAGTTTATATTTGTGTAGAATACTGTTCTTCTGTAGAGGAACAGTGAACGCCCTCCCCCTTATAAAAGACCCGGGTTGCACTTACAGGGGTAGCTAGAGTTGGCATATCTGTTCTTTCCTGTTATTCTCTGGAGATAAGCATGCTTCTATAAACAGAATCTGTTTTACTTAATGGCTACATGAAAGCAAACACCAGCCTTCCTCATTTTAGGGAATGCCTTTCTAATGACAGACTAGAAGAAATGTCATAAACATCTGGCCAAGGTTTTGTTGCTCTGTCTCCATATTGAGGCCAGTGGATCACCAGGCGGCAGTAGCCATCACAGGAGGCTTCCCCAGAGGTAGCTGAGCTCTGTCCATGGGGATCAGGCCCACCCAGATGCTCTAGGATCCCACCAGCTGGTTTTTTTGTATCCCTGATAACTTCCCGAGTCCTTGGGTTTTTGTTGTTTCCCTTGGTTTTATTGTCCTTTCCTGTAAAATTAGATTGCTAAGAAAGTGATTTCTCTAGATCTGGGGGCAGGGACAAGCTTCCAGAAGCTCATATTTTACTTAAGAAATAAGGAATAAAAATGAAACATTGAGATAAGACTGTCTGTTGTAGTTTTAAAAATCGGTGCACGAGAGAAAGGCACCAAGTAACAGAGCTTGGTTGGAGGGGTTTTTTATTAGGTGGGAAAGTTAATGGGAAAAGGGGCGAGGGGAGAAGGGAGACCAGCCTCTGGGGACAGAGTGGCAGAGAGGGAGGGAGGGAGGGGAGGGGAGACAGGCACAGAAGCAGTGAGAAAGAGAGGAAGATGGGAGGTGAACAGGGCCCCTTTAAAAGGGAGCATAGTGAATGTGCACAGATGGTGCTCTTAGTAGCTGCAGCTGAGGGCATATCCTGTCAGAACCCCCAAGGGCAGATGCCTGAATACTAACAGTGTCTTTTAGTGGTGTATGATGTTTTGGTGAGAATTTATGGAGTAGTTAATGTATATAGGAAAAGTTGATAAAGATTTTGTACCCCAGTTAGCTTTCTGAAGTTACACCTCGAGCCTGTTGTGCCAATCACTCCACTCATAGCCTGTAATCCCACAATACACTGAGGTTGCTGCTGCCTCCTGTTAGGGTACTGAGAGAAACTGGAACCCTTAGTCTCAGCTGCCTGCTGAATACGCGGCTTGGTTCTTCCTCCTGAACAGTTTGCTGGACTGTTGACAGGGTTGCTATGCCGTGGAGTTAGTGGCAGACAGTCGTTAGTATTTCACCCATCCTAATGAAACAAGCTTATTCTTTCCTTTTAACCAGACCAGAAATTCTTTAATTATATAAGCTCCCTTAGACATAACACCATTATCAGTTTGAAAGGGGCTCACCACTTAAATTTGATGTGTTTTATTAAAATGAAACTGAAGAAGTATGTGAGGAGCCAGACTTATCACAGTTACCGCCTACTTATTTGCACAGTAATTTTTCACCCTAGTTAATATTAACTTTAAGCAGTCTGTCTCCTCTTTTTTATTTTTGTAGCTTAGGATCATAGCAGTAATATGTACTTTTCTCATTTTTTTATTTTTAGCTATAGTTTTAAAAAGTTCATCTCTCTCTCTCTCTCTGTGTGTGTGTGTGTGTGTGTGTGTGTGTACGTGCAAGAGCCAACAGAGGCCAGAAGAGGGCGCCCAGGAATAAATGTTTGTGAGCTGCTGGTTGGGAGCTGGGATTTGGACTCCAGTGCTACAGGAGCAGCCAGAGCTCACAGGACTGAGCCGCCCCTCTTGCCCCATTTTTTTGTTTTGCTTTTTTTCTGTTTTTTGTTTGATTTTTGAAACAGGGTCTCTCCATGTATTCCTGGATGTCCTAGAACTCATTTTGTAGGCCAGGAGATCCTCCTGACTTTGCCTTCTGAGCACCAGGATTAAAGGCATGCACCACCAGGCTGGCTCCTTTTTGTTGTTGTTTGGGCCCCAGCCCCCATGGATCTCTGTGCATTGCTTGTCAGCTGATAGCTACAGGTGCATCCTGGTCTCTAGTCCTGGCTTACAGCCCCGGCCTTGCCTCACTGACACCAACATCTAGTACAAGGAAAACACGAGTTCTTACACCTGGGGTTTTCCCACTGTGCTGTAAGTCTGTATCTAAGGCTGTTCCCTCCTTGCAATAAGGGACACACACATTCTCTTAGCAAATCGGCCGGATGTCTTGTCTTTTATTTAAAACTCCAGGCTTTCGCCGATACATTAGACCTGCTCATGGTACAGGCACCACAGTTGTTGTTTTTTTTGTTGTTGTTGTTTTCTAAAAATGAGAGCATACTAAAAGACGGGAGATAGCATTAAGACTGTAATGGCTGTCAGGTTGGAGAGGTGCCTGAGAAGAACACATGCTGGCTTAGCATGCTCAAGTCCTTGGGCTGGATCCCTTGCTGTCATCTGGGTATGATGGTGCACATATAATCTCAACAGTCAGAGGTGGAGGCAGGAAGATCAGAAGTTCAAGGCTATCCTCAGCTCCCTAGCTGGTTCCAGGCTAGCCTTGTTTATGTGAAACCCCCACTGAGAAAGAAGAAATTGTAACAATTGTGTTTTTTGAATATTCATGCTACATCCCCATATTTGTCTTCTAAGCTTTTGAAGTGTTTCCGTCCACAGAGATGGCTTAGCCATATTTCCATATTTAAGACCTGGTTGATTGGCTGACAAGCCAGATGCATGTGCTTTCTTTCTGTTTGACCAGCAGATGCATTCTTAGGTGCAAGTGCAGTTGTTCTACACAGCTCTCTAGTGGTTGCTGTCCTATTCCTCTGCAATCTGTAGTTGTGTACTGACGTACGCCAGGCTGATTTCTCATGTTTTCCTTTACAGGACCCGTCAAGAACAGTTCCAGGCAGATACAAGAGGTAAGAATGGTGACATCGTAACTTGCAGGCTTGAGGCTAGCGTATGTCTAATGTTGACTTGACTAACTAGAACTGCGTTCACTCACCTTTGTGTTCTTCAAAAGAAATTCCCATGTAGGCAGAAGCGTAACATCTGTCGACCCCATTTGTTTCTGATCTTTCCTGGAAGCTTTCAAAACTGTCCACCCTGTGAATCTTAATGGGTCTGAAACAGAAACTTAGAATTAGTTTTCCTCCTTACAATGACAATACAAGGAGGCCATATGTAATAACAAAATGCCATAAACTAGTTGGCTTAACCAAGAAAACTGGGGAGCCAGCCTGCCCAGATGCTGGTGATAGCTGTGGTGGCCATTCCCATAACCAGTTAGTCCCAAATGAACACATTGAGGCTTATATTAATTATAATCTGTTTGGCTGATGGCTCAGGCTTCTTATTGGCACTCTCTTAATTATTAACCCATTTCTGTTAAACTATGTATTGTCACAAGGCAGTGGCAGTGGCTTGACAGTAACACTCCGGCAGGTTACTCCTTCAGCGGCTACATGGTGTGTCTCCCTCATGACCCTCTCTGCCTTCCTTTTCCCAGCATTCTCCTAGTCTGGTATCCCTGCCTATACTTCCTGCCTGGCTAATGGCCAGTCAGCATTTATTCACCAACCAAAAAGAGAAACATATTCACAGCATACAAAAGGACATCCCCCATCAGGCAGTGGTATTTGTTTAGGAAAGGGTTGGTCTCTAAGACCTGGTTTGCAGTTGGTCATCTTGCTGTGTTCTTTTGTCAGAGTTGGAGTCAGATTCTCTGTCCTTATATGGGCACTGACCACATTGTGAGGCGGTGTCTACCCCATGACCCCATGTGAACCTAATTATTTCCCAGAGGTGTCATCTCCATGGCCATCACAGTGGCCATTAGGGCTTCAGTGCCTGTTGGATGCACTGTATCATGTCACCTTCTTCCTTGTGGAGAACACAAAGGTTGCTAAGAGTGTGCTCTAATGAGAGAAGGGTTTTGTTGAGATGTTAAGATGTTCATGCATAGCAATCATGTGGCTCTCATGATTGACTTATAAGGTGGATAAAATATCTGCATGTTTTTTTTAAAGATTTATTTATTTATGTTGTATACAGTGTTCTGTCAGCATGTAATCCTGCAGGCCAGAAGAGGGCATCAGATCTCATTACAGATGGTTGTGAGCCACCATGTGGTTGCTGGGAATTGAACTCAGTACCTTTGGAAGACCAGCTAGTATTCTTAACCACTGAATCATCTCTCCAGTGCCCTATCTACATGTATTTTATACATAAAGAAAGCAGGGTTTAAAAGGTAGAATAGCTTCCTGAGAATACAAACCTAGCATATATTGGAGTTCAGATGGTCTCATTCCAGCTCATACATTTACTGAATACACAGGATCATCAGCCAAGACCTACACATATATAACTTTAGTTTTGTCTATCCATATGTTTAAATGTAAGACATTTACTGATAAGAACTCTCAGCGTTAATACCAAGTGAAAGTAAAATGTGATTGTGTTTTTGTCTTTGCTGGGGTCTGTGATAACGGGAAGGATGAGAGGCCAAGTTCAGGAATTGAACAAGTGCGCCTGAACATCCCCAGCTGTTGCTTTTATTTTCATGTCTACACAATCTATGTGTCTATAAAGAAGCATGCCTCTTTAATGTAGAGCTGAGTGGTTTTTATTCACCATGACTAGTTTAATCCAAACAAAATAAATTTTCTTCTGCCAGAAACTATGCTCAAATTAGCTTTGACATGAACCATTCACAGACATTTTCAGAAGAAGAAAAATTGCCATCATTGTTTTGTTTGTTTGGGAAACAGATAAAATTTGATAATTTATCAACTGTGTTATACATATTTTTCTAATCAAAATTTAAATTATAAACAGCACTTTTATATTTATGTTCTTGAATTGGATTCAATGAGGGAATACTTTTTTCCCCCTATACATTTTCACCAACGTCCTGGAGAGATGGCCCAGCAGTTTAGAGTGAGGACTGCTTTTGCAGAGGATCTGAGTTCAGTAGCTAGCAGCTTACAACTGCTGGTAGCTCTGAGTCTGTCACCCTCTTCTGACCTCTGTGGGTACTGCACTTACACATGCACACATACATACACACACACAAACACATAGACATGCACAATGCAGACACACTCACACACATAGACACACATGCAACACAAATGCATGCACACACAAACACACACACTTACAAATAGACACAGACTCACAATATAGATGCACTCACACTCATAGGCACATACAACACAGGTGCGGAAACATGCAAACACAGAGACACATACAACACAGTTTCACAAACACACATACAATACAGATGCACACATACACACAGATAAACACAGATGCACAAACGCACACTCAAACACATACACACAGATAAACACAGACACATACAACACAGATGTGAGCGTGTGCACACACACTCACACACACACACAGTAGTAAATTTTCCGTGTGACATGTTCATCCACTTACAGTTTAATTTTTGTAACCTAAACCATGTGATTTGTTACTTCTCAGATTTCAAAGATCTAGCCCTGTTTAATACTACTAAGAGTACTTTTAACCAAAGCACCTGAGAGGACAAGGGGAGTGGTGCGTGTGAGGCTAGCCTGAGCTATTCAGTGAGAAGCTGCTTAAATAGGTAAATAACGAAATACAAATTTGTAATCATTTCTCACTGAGTTGTAGTGACTCTATTTTATATGGTCTAAGACGCAGTGTAGAGCTGAGAGGGTATCTCTGAAAGCATCCGTTCTTTATCTCCCAGGACTATCTTACACGGCCTGTCAGCGGCCCATTACTTTCACTAGTCTGTCAGCAAGTTGTAGCAACGATCAGAGAATGGGTGTCTCTTGACGAGGGTGTCTCTTGACAAATGGGGATGACCAAAAATGAGGGATGGCCTAAAAGATGAACGCTGTGATCACGTTAGACAGTTTTCTATAAGTAAAACGACTTGCACAGACGCTCAGTTGGCAATGTCTGAAAAGTCTCTAGGGGTTTCCCGTCTCTGGCCCTGCATGGCCTTCCCTCTCACTAACTGCACACTCACTTTCTCTGACAGACGTTGAGAATGCAGGATTTTAGCTCTGGAGCATCGGGCTGGCTGTGCGGTACTTGGACTCCTGTTCATCTAGAAAGTCCTGTATGCCCTATTTTTCGTTTTCAGCTCCACGTGTTTGGAGATGAGGACTGTGACACCTCTGATACTCAGTTTGGAAAGATGAGCCGATAGGTGTCTGTGGGTTTTCGTTTTCCCAGTGTGCACTTCTGTCAGTAGAGTGTGTGCTTGGTTAGGTTTCTAGTACGTTGGTTACATTTAGAGAAAGAAGCAGGCTCTTGAGGGCTTGGCAACGATGGGGTTTTCTAGGTTGTGTGGTGCTGCTGGCATTTGAATGTGGAGTTCAGTCAACAAGTAGCAAGGCTGCCATGTGGATGCTGAGAACCAAATCTGGGTCCTCTGCAAGAGCAAGCCACTGAGCCATCTGTCCAGCCCCAGAACAAATACTCTTAGAGTGTGGAGGAGATGTAGCCACAAATTGACCTCAGTTGGCATCCTTAGTTGGCACTGCACAAGTTACCTCTCGTTCTGCTTCTCTCCAAACCAGCAGTCACCATGTGAGCATGGGGGTAAGTGGAACTGGACCGAGATAAACTGAAGAAAATCTTTGAATAATAGTACAACAACAACAACAAAAAAAGACTGGGCTCCCAACACTCAAGAGGCAGAGGCAGGTGGATCTCTGTGAGTTTGAGGCTAGCCTGGTCTACAGAGCAAGTTCCAGGACAGGCTCCAAAGCTACAGAGAAACCCTGTCTTGGGAAAGACAGTCAGTACTTTGAGATGGGGCTGTGGCCCTTTAGAGGAAAGCAGTTCCTTTTAAAGCTCCTCCCTGTTTCTTACAGGGAGTATGAAATTTAATAGAGTCTGGGTGTTGGCTTTGAGTTTTAGTTGTGTGTGTGTGTGTGTGTGTGTGTGTGCATTTAAATGAAGGGAAAGAGTACAGCAGGTTATGGGACCCGGCAGGGTGGTGAGAAACTGGGAGTGACCAGCCCAGTGCTCCCTGGTGACTTAGAAGGTCATGATCCGGCTAACACTTCTGAATGTTCGATACCCATTGTTTAGTAGGATTTTACCCATGAGTCTTGTATTTCATCCCTTTGCTGAGCTTTCATATGTCCGTATTAGTGGAAAATTCCTCTGCCTGTGATCTCTTAATGCTACCAATCTCGTTCTCATGATAGCTTTAGAATAACAGTGTTATTTTCCTGAACACAGCAGTGCCCTCTCATCTTTCCACAGAAGATGTGAAAATTCCCAGAAGGGGGAAAAAAATCTTCCCGTAAAGGGTGCTGTTTATCTTTGATGATCCTGATTATTATTTCCCTTTACTGAACATCATATTTAATATCTTTGTGGCCAAGAGTAGACAGTTCTCGTTGGATCTTAGGTTTGTGTTAACATTCCTAACGAGAACATCACAAACCTTTTGGAGTTCATGAAACAATTTTTTATCCTGAATATTTTCCATTGTGCATATCCGGCCCACAAAATAGGTTGAAAACAGTTCTGTTTTAGGATAAACAGCTAAATTTGGCAACAGAATCAAGTTAACACAGGCCTTCGTGGTTATGGCCACATTTCTTTCAAATCTAGTATGTCTGGGGACCAAAGAGCTAATTTAATTACTCAGCAATTATTCTTTGTTTTACGCATGCATAGGGTTTCATTTATGCATTGGCATGCCTGCCTAACACTGAAGGGTCATACAGCTAATAAGTGAAACTTCTAAAACTTGGTCTTATTATTTTTATGAATTGATGTTTATTTGTTCATATTTACAGAGTAATGTAATCACTGCATGGGTATAGTGTAATGATCAAATGAGGGCAATTAGGATATCCATTCTTTATGTCTGTTGTCTGCCTATTTCAGAAATTTCTGC